TATCTTTGGTGGAAAGACAATGAAGTAATAACTCAATTAGAACAAGCTTCACATTTAATATCGAAAGACAATCGACTTGTTCTTGTATGTATCGATAATAAAACATTGATATTATATGATTTAATAGAAAAATTACGTGGAACTATTCAATTAGATGATGATATTGGTCAATGTGAAGCAATTAGTTTAAGTGATTATAATAATGAATATGAACAATATCTTTTCATTATTTGTCATGATCGTTTTTTACGAATGTATAATGTTTCTAATGGTAAACAAATAGTTAAATTATTTATTCATAATGATTTATATCCATTTATTGAAATTTTAAATAATCGTTTATTACTTAAAGTTTCTAATTATCTATGTATTATAAAAATCATTGATAAAAAATCATTATCAAAAAACAGGTAGAATTTATTTTGTAAAAAGAAAAAAAAAGATTCGAAACATAAGTTGTAATAAAATATGTTTTAGATTATCAAATATCAAATGTACTCTCTTCGAACAATCTATGTGGATGATTTGTCATCGTGATTATTGTATTTGGTCACCTACTGTTACATCTTAAAATTGACTTTTTATTTTTTGTTTTAAATGAAAAATGATCAAAAACAGCAACATGTATTTTTCGTTTAAAAATTATAGCTTCTATAAATCTTGAATAAATCCATTACTTTTTTTTTGTTTTTATTCAAAAGAAGTTCATTGTATGTCTACTTATTTTTTTTTGTTTATTAACTAATATCAAATGCAAAGTATTCTATAGAAAATGTGATAAAACATGACAATATAATAAGACAATAGTTATGAAGTGTTCTGGTTGAGTGATTTAATTCTTCTACGTTCTGTATTTCTCTTATTCTTACGAGTCAACCAAGCATATTATATAAAAATATATAAAAATCAAACATTTTAGTGGATCAAGTACGACAACGTTATTATGATGATAAAATCATAAATGTGAAGGTCGCTTATAATCATCATATGAAGGTTGTCTAGAATCAGTTGTACACTTATCATGTCTGGTGTTAACATTCAAATTATTAATTCAACAAATATCGATAAAAATATTTATAAACTATCTGCTTGTGATATTCGTAATCTTACATATTATCTTCATGTACAAAGTCATCCATTCATAAACATAGAAAATATTGGAAAAAATGATCAAGAAAATATGTCTGTTGGTCTTGATTTAAATAAAAAATCTACGAAAAATTCTCAACCATTAACTGATACCTATCGAATTCATCATAATTATCGACCTAATAGTCAACGTCGTCGTCCATATACAAAACATGTTCCTGACAAACCGAAAATATCATTGTCTCTTGATCCTAATAGAAAACTTTGTCTTGAAATTGCTACATGTGGTATGAAAAAAAATACACGATTACCAGTACCACATAAGAATTTTTCTTTAATTGATGGATGTTTTGGTGATGATGCTGGATTTATAATACAAAAAGATCAAAGAAATTTTTTAGGTAGATTTAATAACTAAAACAAGAAAAATTTCATATTAGTTTTTTATAGGTATATCTGATGGTGCCGGTGGTAATCTAATGTATGGCTATAATCCTCGTCTTTTTTCTGAATCATTAATGCGTAATTGTTCAGATTTAGCTCATACAGGAAAGTATTGTACATCTCAACCTAAACGTCTCTTATGTCATGCATTCGATCGTGTTCAAACGGAAAATTGTTTTGGTATGATTTTCATTTCTTTTTTTTTTCTTTTCAATTGTTCTTTGTGTTAAAATTTAATTTTAAAAACAAAAACTAAAAAGGTAGTGCAACAGCATGTGTTCTTGGTATTGATTGTACCACAGGTCGACTATGTTCAGTGAATATTGGTGATTCAGGTTTTGTTATTGTACGACAAGGTTGTGTTATTTATCGATCACGATCACAAGCAATGGATGGAGATTGTCCACGACAATTAGATGTTTATCCATGGACTGCATCATTGAAAGGGCATGGTATAAATTATACGCAAATATCGTATGTTTGTTTTTAAGATTATTCTATATAAGAGTTTAAAAAAAAAATTATTTTTCAACCTTGTTTGTTATTATTATAAACGAAAAATATTTTTTCTATTGTTTTCTTATCCTTGTGATAGTAGTGTTTAAAAACAATTATTCTGTTATCTGTATATACATATACATATGTTGATAAATAATATTCAGAAAAAAATTAACTTATAATATTTTTCATATTTAGAAGTCTTGATGCTATCTGTGATACATTCGAATTGCAATTAGATGATATAATTATTCTATCTACTGATGGTCTTTTTGATAATGTTCCTAATTTTCTAATCGAAAAAATTCTTTCTCAAGTAAGTTTTAATATTTATTGTTCATGATTTATTTATTTTTATTGTTTTAGAATCATTCTTTAAAAAAATCTGCGAACGATTTAGTTACTCGAGCCGTACGATATTATGTTAAACCAGATGATATTCTTGTTATAATGGCACGAATTACATCGATTAATAACTCTATATCCAAACAATCAAAATAAATATTTATTTATAGAGTTTCATACATAATATAATAAAGAGGCACTGATTAATGAAATAACAAAATAATTCATTTCTTTTCGACTGTGAAAAA